CAAAGTGGGGCACCAAAAGAGCAGAAGAACGGGATCCATTTGTACTCACCATCAAATTGGTACTAACTGATCAACACTAGGTTGATCACATGGCAGAAATACTCTCTAGGGATTAGAGGGATGGGAGGACAAATCTACAACTAAAGGACAGGGTGAGCACTAAAGGGAGGGAAGGGCATGCCTTTGGGCGAGGCAAAGACATAAAGTGTAACTACAATGTTTGTACCCTCACAAAACCCTGGAATAATAATAATAAAAAAAAAGAGTCTGATGTCCTTTAAGATTGTGTCAAGCAAATGATGTGATTGTCCTTTTTTTACTGAACCTGGTGTTATGATGTTTTATAATAAAAAAGATTGCATCCAGTAGCCAAAATATTTTTGTGGTTTAAGCAACTGATTCTCATTTCATCGATTTGTCCAATAGCCTTTCTGAAATACATTCAACAAATACTTATTGAGCTAGGTACTTGGCTAAGGACTGGATATATGAGGATGAGCAATACAGGTGTGGTCCCAATCCTCACAAAATTTTACAGTTCAATGGAAAAACACTGAAAAATATACAACCATATAGCATAATAAGAGTCACACTTGGGGGAGTCTAGGGAGCTGTGGGAACACCCACAACATGAAGAAGATCTGGAGATTTGTTTCACAACAAAGTGAATATAATTAACATTACTGAACTGTACACTTAAAAATGGTTAAGATGGTAAAATTTTATTTTGTCTGTATTTTACCACAAATTTTAAAATAAGCTTAAATACTGGAAGTAATGATTTGTTTCTATTTATTCCATAATTACTGAAGTGGGAACGATGAGAAAAAATAATTCAGAAATAATGGGGGTACCGCTCATGTAGTAATACAGGGAGGACAGCTTATGGCAGGGTAAGGAAGCTTGAACTCTGACCTATAGGCAATGGGAGCCATTGGGGAATTTAAGAACTTTATCAGCATGTGATTCAGAAAGCCCCCAGAGCAGTATAGAGAACAAATGTGAAGTGGGCAGTCCCAGAGGCCATCTAGCTAGTTCAGAGGCTTTTGCTGTGGCCCAGCTGAGAACTGATGGGAACCTGATGTAGACAGTGTTGGTGGCAGTTGGTGGTGGGGGAAGAGGAATAAGGAGCGAGTAAACTCAAGAATTATTCAGGATGTAAATCAGGTTGACTGAGTAATTGATTAAATTGGTAGATGATAGGAGGAGAAAGAGAGGATGGAGCTTGATTGACTCCTACTTTTCTGGCTCAGGTGACAGAGTAGATGGTAATGCTTCCATGAGAGAGAACTGAAAACAGGGAGCAGACGTAGGGGTAGATCATCTGGAAGCCAGAGAAACTAAAATAGACATATGTATGACATTTTTCCACTCCTAATGAGCACATACTGGTCAGGAATAAATGTTAAACTCGACCCATGTTTCTGAGGCAGATTACTTTCCCAAATTATTCATAGGGTTAGAAAAACAGAAGCATGGTATTTGCAGTTCACAGAATGTTCTAACCTTATTGTGTTGCGTATTCTCAGTGATTTTTTTTTTCCTACAAAACTGCCAGTTCAGTTATCAGGCATGGGTGTTATCTCCTTTATGGGGGTGGAGGAAAGGCTGATTATAGTAGAAAGAGGATTGAGATTCAAATGATCTGGACAGGGACCCAGCTCTGATGCCCATTAGTTAGGTGCCCCTGGAAAAGTACCTTAAATTCTCTGAGTCTTAGTTTTCTAATAGGTAAAATGGAACATCATAGCTTAGAATGATTACAATGGAAGAGGTATGTGAGAGTCCTTTCCAAACTGCAATTAAGACATTATTAGTTGTCATTTTTATTTTGAGACTAATATTACCTGAGACATTGCAGAAAGCCTCCCTCGAAATAGAAGTACGGGTGGCAATCATCTTCTGAGTAAGAGTGGACAACAGATTGAATTACCAACCATGGGAGTGGTTCCTGTTACTGTTAGATTATGAGTCAGTCTGAGAGCTGATGTCCAAGAAATTATACTTCTCATTTGAAAAATGCATGAAAAACATAGGCATGGTTTTATAAGAAGACTTGTTTTTAGTAACCTGATGTGATAAAATAGTTGTTGGTGATAACAATAATGGGGCACTGGGAAGAGGTGAGATATCACAATTAAGCATGAGATGGTGTTATGATAATTTTTGGATTCCTGCTTCTAAGACCTCTGTGCCATGCACAAGGAACAAAGGCAAAGCAAAGCAAACTAATACTTCATTAGCTGGATTGGGGTCAGATGTAGAGGTCCCTTTTTTCTTTCCCAGGTAGGTCAACAGCCTTGAAACAATGGGACTCTAATGGGACAACTCCAAAGGAAAAGGAGTACAAAGCCTAGAAAGACAAAGAAATACGATGGAGATCAAGGCGAAGGCTGAAGATGAAGATTGGCCCCAAACCAGGGATGAGCTCCCTTAGACCATTTCTTCTCCTGACCCTTTTTTTTACCCCTGCCAACTTCCTTAAATCTGCTTGGAAGATTTAACCAACGGCCTTTGCTTAGGATTCTCTTTCTGTTATAGGCATGTAGAAGGAAGATAGTTTTTGAAAAAAAAGAGGAAAAGGGACCAAGGGAGAAGGAAATATTACCTTTTCCCCTCAAGGAATCATCTGAATATCAGTAGAAACTTTTCTTTGATTTTTGGAGTCCTTTTAAAGCCAGCTCCACTTCTAGAAATTATGATCTTTCATCCTGGAATCTGACTAACTGAAATCAACACTTCTCCTCCTAGGGGATTAAGTAAAGGAAGAGAACATTGTCTTCCCTTCAAGGCTAATACGAATAGCGTGGGTGGCAAAATTTCTTCCTCATTTCAGGGGAACTTAAATCTTTCACAAATTCTGAAATGTTAATAAAATTAAGTTTCCTGAATGGGCTCTACCAGAATTGTTTTCTTGCTCAGCACTCTTTTTTTCTCCATTCCTGATCTAGAGTTTTTAGCTACTCTCATCAGAAGAGTTACCTTATCACCTATATAAATAGATTTTCTCAGTCTATTTGTTATCACTCTTCTTTGGCTCATAAACAGAGAAAGGATATTTTCAGACAAAAACAAGTCATCAGCGTGATTAATATTGATGGTTAATTCAGTTTTGCTTGCACTTGACCTGGTTTATGGTGATCACTAGAAGAATCTGTAGCAAAGTTTGTTTAGCGAAGTCAAAATAGGCACACATTTTGTACTATTGCTGGAGTTAGAATATGAAGTACACATTGTACCCTTTGCAAACATGATATATAAATATATATTTTTTTCTTTCTTTTCTTTTCTCCTAGAAGTATCGATATCAAGATGAGGACGCTCCACATGATCATTCCTTACCTCGACTAACCCATGAAGTAAGAGGCCCAGAACTCGTGCATGTATCAGAAAAGAACCTGTCTCAAATAGAAAATGTCCATGGATACGTCTTACAGTCTCACATTTCTCCTCTGAAGGTCAGTTAGATTGCTCTTCATTTATTTATTTTTTAATTTTTTGAAATTTGTATATAGCTGACAACAGTGTTTGGTCTTCAACGTGAAGGGCGATGTTTGCTGATCTGATTACATGAGCCTCTTTTAAAACACAGTAATGGCCCCTGGTTGCCAAAGGGTCTTTCTGTGGTTTGGAAGTTAATCTGGTATTTCTGGAACATATTTTTATTGCAATTGTTTGAATGTCTGGAAAATCCTTTTAGTTGCTGAGATTGGGCTAAGGAAAGAGTGAAGGGTAAACAATTGAAAGGGAAAATAAGCAAACCACATATTTTTAAAAAACCCGGAGTATATCAAGGTTTTGCTTAAATATTCTCTCTCTATCTGCATTCCTGATCCCAGATAAAACAAAGGAAGCAAATATAACAGAATCACATCTAGTGATTGCCTTACTCTCTAACTGAAAAGGAAAATGTGTGAGTTGGCTCATCAACACCTTTGTTTTATCCAAGGAAAATTGTTTACTAGATTTCTTTCTATTTGATGTCATACTTTTCCCAACACTTTTCACTATTTTTATTCAATTCTAAACAATTTCTTTATAAATGGTATTTTGACAAGAAAGGACAACTAAATGAGAATAATGATTTTCTGGGCTCTTTGGTTGCAAATTACTCTGCCTTTTTCTTTGCGGGCTGGTGCTACTGGATTTTGTGCTTTGGATAAAAAGCTTATAAATGTTGATTAAAGTTTAACAAGAAAAATAGAAATAGAATTTGTGCTGTAATAGAAAAGAATTGAAATGAAAAAAATAAACCTACCTTAGTTACTGCTAAAGAAATTTTTTAAATTTTATTATCTAGAACATTCATTTCATTGGCACATCCGTATAGCTATGGCACAATAAAAAGTATAGCCTTAACAGTGGCTCCAATCCTCTGTGAGTTCTTATTATACCTTCCAAAACATCAAATAAAGGTTAAATTATGTTTATTATATTTACAATTTTGCAACATTTTAAGTACTCTGGTATTCTAAAAATGAATTATCAAATAAACTAGCTGTAACTACCACCAATAAATAAAAATACCAAGCCAGTTGTCAAATTCCAATAAATATTATGTAATATATAAAAATATATAAAATGATGTCTCTGGGATGCGTTGTATGTACGTCTTTCCAGAATTTCTCTGAAAACCACTGGATAACTGATGAAAATGAGTATGTTTAACCTGAAGAAGAAAAGAATAAGAATCCGGGGACAGGATACTTACTTTTTTACCTCAAGAACTGTCACATGGAAAACATGAAATTGGTGTCATACAGAGGGCAGAAGCAAACCAGCTGTAAACTGACAGGAATTTGTATTTGTGATCATTGTAAGACCACAGTTCCCAACAGTTAAAGTTACCTACCAAAACTGTAGACTTCTTCATGAGGCAGGAGTTTTCTATTTCTAGAAATCTTCAGGCACATATGACCTGGCAGTGGTTGTGTAGAAAGGACTCTTTCAGCAGGAGGGTAAACAAAATTGTCTGTAAGGTCCTATCTAACTCTAGGAATCAATGATTCAATTCTGTGTTCAGATGAATACCTTCCTTCTATAGGGACCCTTTTATCTTTGCAAGAAAATGCTGATCTCCTGCTCTCTGTGTAGACCACTATTAATTGAGAAAAGGCAGGACTGAGAGACTGGACTGCATTGAGAGTACTTAACTATCAGCTTCATTCTTTTTAACTGGATGAAAAACTTCTTATAAGAACCTCCATGAAGCTTTTCTTCCTTTTCTTTCCCCCAACTTGTCTTTCTCCCTTCCAACTCTTTCTCTTTAATCAACTCTAGAGTACAGTTCCCAAAAGGCTTTGGCTGAATAGGATAATCAAAGTTAGTATTTTGTATCACCGTACTAGAATTGATAGTATGGTGATTATTAGTAGTATGTTTAGATCAGTTAATGCTGATACCTGAGATATAATTTAAATTGGTGCCAGTTTTTGTCATGTTAGTAGGATTATGCTTGATATTAGTTAAATTCCTTGGGACTCAAAGTAGAATGGGGAGATTCCAAATTTTATAATTAGTGCTATTGTAATTATTAGGGGTACTAGCCCAGTTACAATAAGAATACGAACGAAACAATGAAAGCACTATGGGATCTTCATTTAGTGTATTAAAGTGTCCAACATATACATGATAATATAATCATCTGAACATCTGCAGAGTGATGACGAGTAATTTGAGTGATTGCACCATCATTGCTATGCTACTCAATGCCTCATTTGGAAAATGTCTATTAAGTTGAGGGAAAAGTTTGCTTTTTCTGAAGATCAGATCATGCATATATAAAGGATTTTTTTTCTATTTTTTCTTTATCCCTTGCCTTCCAGGAATTTCAAAATTAAGTGTCTTCAACTTCAGTGGATTTTCTTAGCCTAGGTTTCCTTTTATATTTATCTCCATTCTAACTTATTTTGTAGTCTTTTATTGAAGGCACCTCTCATCAGTTTCTAAAGTAGCCATCTATGAATAATAAGCCCCTGATAAGAAACACCAAGGCTGGAAGGTTTTTCTTTTTTATGGAACCACCAGTTCAGCAGTGTGGCCCCTAAGCTATTGTGAAGAGAAAGGACAGGTAAGTTCATCCAGGACTTCTGCACCCAGGCTGTGAGATAGCTATTAGGGCCAGGATTTTTTCATCATGACCTTCTAGAGGCGTTGTTTACTAAACGAGATCGGGTTTTAGACTGTCTTAGTGAAGAGACTCTGTGTACCTTTCGTCTATCACCAATAGTGATAAGGATAAATATGTACAATTTTTCTAGGAAAGAAAAAGAAAATCCCCATATTGTAGGGCTTGCCAATTTTGTGATGACCATGACTGATTTCAGGCTACCAACCTAAAGCTACTAAATGTATTTGGAAAGGGAAGATCGTGAGGCTCTCATGAGTTAGTATGAGATTGCTCTAGCTCAGCACTGCAATGTCAGGTTCAAACTCATGTACTTTTATAGCAACAGAACACATTTTCTAATCAAATTGTTAAGGGGTTGTTACATTATTACAGTTCAAGTATTTGGATGACCTTCCATGATTAAAATCTAATGTGTTATTTTCTCATAAAGGAAGTCTATTAGAGTCAGGGAAATGCTAAGAAAGTATAAATTCTCAATTAGACCTGTCATATTTTCAAATCTTTGCCATCTTTGATCTGTCTTCTGTTCTTGGGTCAAGCACTAAAAGGGAGAAGAGGAGGTGAAACAATCATCTAATGCCCCCAGAATCCTACTGAGATGAAAATGTGGCTCTATAGTATTAATTAGAAATTTACATATGGCATGCCTAAACAGAGTGTGATTGCTGGATAATAGTTTAAATGTCACATTGAACGGGCACTGAATCATTAGCTGAGTAATCTCATTGTCACAGGTTTAAGTATCATTTTTTTCATCATTGTGTATCACTGAAAGCCTCGGTTCTAAAATTCATCTGTCTTTGGTGCACACCAGATGCCTGAGTGATAGATGGGTTTGCTTAGGCTGTTTTCATTAGAGTCATTAGAGTGCCTTGGCCACTGTGAAGTATGGGGTTGGAAGGAGAAATGCAATTTAGTGGTGAATTCAAGGGAATTTGTTTTCCTTGCCTTAAGATGGGGATGCTTTCTCTTCAGATGCTACTTAGAATCTTCCACAAATGAAATTGGCCTATAAAAAAAGCATAAGAATTTTCTTTTCAGTTCAGGGCTTTTCAGTTTATGTCTATTAAGTTTAGGTCAGTTCAATAAATATTAGTTGAGTACCTACTATATGCACTAAGTGATGAGGAAACAAAGAGCAGTAAAACATGATTTTAAATATCCATATTACTCCTGTGGGGGACCTGAGTTATAATTATGTGGTACTTATTCTTACTCTGCAACTTGAATTCAGATTCCTCAAGCTTAAATACTGTGGGATTCCAGATACTCAGCAGAGTACCCTGTGCAGAGTATTTGCTAGAGGGAGAGGGAGAGGAGAGAAAGAGGGAAAAGGAGAGAGAGGGAGAGAGAGTTTACTGTTCTCTTATCCCTTACCAAATCATCACTGATACAGAATTTCATCAATTCTATATTTCATATTTTATCACATGTTAACATATCAGAAATCTAAATGTGTTCTAAAATCTGTGGCATCTTGCAATTAAAATTGGCGGAATTTCCTAGGGTACATAAAAATGGTATATCTTTCATTCAAAACTATCTTAGATTCCTAGATTCAATGACTGTTTACAAGGAAGATTAAAACTACCTTTCATAAATTGGTGTGAATTGCTTTAATCAGATAAATATGATTGTCTTGTAATTTTCACTGAGAGGAAAATAAATAGTTCTGGAAGCTTTACTGGAAAGTGAGAATATGTGAGGTTGGGGTAGACTTCTATACCCAAGTGGGCAACTGGGCATTTTTTTTTTTATTATTATTTCAGCATGTTATGGGGGTACAGATGTTTATGTTACGTATGATGCCCTTACCCTTCCTCCCCCACCCAAGTCCGAGCTTCAAGTGTGTCCATTCCCCTGGAGGTGCGCATCGCATTCATTGTTTGTGCGTATGCCCGTCCCCTCCTCCCTCCTCCCCCCTCCCCCTGCCCAACATCCAATACATGTTATTCTTATATGTGCACTTAAATGTTGATCAGCTAATACCAGTTTGATGGTGAGTACATGTGGTGCTTGTTTTTCCATTCTTGGGATACCTCGCTTAGTAGAATGTGTTCCAGCGCTTTTCAGGAGTATATAAGAGGTGCTATATCACCATTGTTTCTTAAAGCTGAATAGTACTCCATGGTATACATATACCACAGTTTATTAATCCACTCATGTATTAATGGACACTTGGGTTGTTTCCATATCTTTGCAATTGTGAATTGCGCTGCTATGAACATTCGAGTGCAGGTGTCTTTTTCATAGAGCCACTTTTGCTCTTTTGGGTAGATGCCCAGTCATGGGACTGCTGGGTCAAATGGTAGTTCTACTCGTATCTCT